TAGTTCATATGTCTAAGTTTGAACTTATTAAGATAATCCAAACAGAAAATATCATGTTACTACAGTTTGAAAAGAGATAATTAAAACAAATAGAATAATAGTTGGATTAGTATTTGATGTTTTTATTATTCTCTGTGTTTGAGTCTTTACAACTATGAAGCTTTTTTTTTTTGTTTTTTTTTTTTTACAGCCCATGAAGCTTTTTTCAACTAGAGAAAACAAAACATTTTTTATAGACCGCAGGTGAATAAGGTTTTTATGTAGTGTTCTATAAGTATGAATTAGAAAATTTATTTCGTGAGTTTGTCAAATTATGAATATTATACCAAATAAATAAGTGTTCAAATATAACTCGCACCAGCGTTTTAAACAATTAGAGAATGTTTAACAAAAAAAAAATTGGATAGATTCTATTTATTTTGTAAAAATTAAATCCCGAAAGGAAAAGTAAGGAAAATACGGGTATTCCATCTAAATCTCTTACCCATTCTCTTCTTTGTTGAACTAAATTAAACATTCTCATATTGGTAATTATTTTAAAGGAAACAGTTATGTGACGAGAAATTTTAAGATAGACAACGAGACGGGACGTGACGACACTACTTTCTCTCATTATCTTATCTATATTGAATTTTATTAAAAAATATTGTTTAAAATATGAAATCCCGCACATACGTGCGGATCAGGTTCTAGTTATTATATAATTTGGCTAATTAAATTATATTTAGTATTTATATATATGATGTTCCATATAAAATTATTTTCTATATCCGCCACTTGAACTATTATATTTTGCTACTATAATGAACTTTTTTGCTTGACGTGTTCTATATAAGTATACTTGGATTTTCACAGCATTAATAAATATTCCAAGACCAGTGTTGATAACTTTAATGTTTCACATATAAAGAGAAATAGAAAGCTTAGGTTAAAAGCTATTGACCAAACTTCCGAACTTGTGTTGCGAGGGTTAAAAAACCTAGGCCTTTTTTTTTTACTTCTCTCATCTTGAATTGTTTTTTGGTTCATTTTGTTTTCAAGTTTTTACCACGAGATCTTCATTTATACATTATGTTTTTACATGTCTCCAACTTGGACACATATATAGCAAACTTAAGCAATGCCTTCGATTTTACCAATGCCCTTTTGACTTACCATGGAATTTTTTTTTCTTATACGTTTGAAGATACAACAAATATATAATCCTTTATATTATAAATCACAAGTCACCTGACCAATAAAAATGTGACATATCATCACAAATATAGGTTAATTAATTTTTTTTTAAAATGTTCAATGCTAAAAGGAAAAAAAAAAGGAAAAGAGAACAAAAAAATCGAATTGAATGTTTTAACAAAAGTAACTACCAATTAACATTAGCTACGTAATTCCATAAATCCTTAAACAGAAAAAAGATTCCTAATTTAACTCCCCCACGATCATGAAGAAAAATCTTTCCATGATCCTTCTTTAACTTCCCCACTATTTCTCTCTAAACCGATCAGGTCCATTAACCTTCCTTTAATTTTGTTGTTTCTTTTTTTTTATAAATAGTTTTTTGGATTTTTCTCAAATTTATGATAATATAATGATTGATTGTTTTACATATTTAGAAATTATATTGGGATTTTTTTGTTAGGTCCATATTAGAATTTAATAAAAAAAAGTAACAATTTAATTTAATAAAAATAGTTTTGATAATACAAAACTATGCTGTGTTATAGCACAGGTCGTAATACTAGTTCTCATATATAAAAGGTATGACACTAAAAATAAATGTGGGCTGGGACCTTATTGCAGTTAAACTATTGAAAATTACACTTGTTTTATATGGTTTGATTGTTTAAGACAAAGGAAAATTACTATTAAAACTATATTGTAGTTTTTCAAATCTAGATATTGATAAATTTACTAACACATAGTTCAAATATTACTCTATATGTATGTTTAGTTATAGCTTTAAATAAATAAACGGAAATTCTTATAAGAGATCGGAATTTTGCATTTAATACAACCTACATTTTTAGTGTAAGACCCTAATTTCAGGAATATGCATGCGGAGAGGTTTAAGAGAATTGATTTGACCATTTATGTCACCAAACTGCGGAAAAACGGTCTATTTCCCCACGAAAAGTATCGCATCATAATAGATAGAGCCCAAACTTTAACCTCGGTTTATATGTCTCCGAAAAACAATGTTTAATATCTATTTCTCCCCGAAACGTAAGTTCAATAACATAATCTCCCCGAATTAATACTTTGAGATCTATTAACCCACATATCTGGGTTTCGTCGGTTTAATGTACACCAATTCAATCTTAACCGTTTTAAAACAAACTTTAACCAAAACTAAACCGAAATTATCAGTTATCAACCCGAACCCGGCCAAATCTAACCTCCGGCGATTGTCGTTGGTCACTGGCTTCATATCACCGGTTATATTTCCTTCCTGCTTTCTCCGGTAAACTTTTTCACATCAATTTCCGATCGTTTATGTTCCTTCACAAAATCGATGAAGTTTGATCTTTTCCTTTTTACTATTAACAGACCAATCCGTTTACATAAGAAATCAACAGAAACTTCACACCAAACAATTCTTAATTTTGGGTTGTCCCGTAATTGTACCTTAGATTTTGTGTTCTTGAGGTATCACTTGAAAAGTGAATAATTAAGAAGTTTAGATAAATAGTTGTGGGATAATTTGATAATTGTGTGTTTTAATTTGATTTCTTTATTGTGAATTGTGATGAAGAAGGAAAAATAACAAATGGCGACTCTGATTTGAAACCCATCTTCGACATGAGAATGTCATTGCTTTGAAAGATGTCATGATGCAAGCTCATAAGAGGAGTTTCAAGGATGTGTATTTTGTTTATGAGCTCATGGTTACAGATCTCCACTAGATTATCAATTACCAGCTCTAAGTGTGTTGTTCCAAGGAACGGGTTAAGCGAGTAGTGATGCCATGGAAGCTGTATTTTATTATTTACCAGCTCTAAGTGTGTTTGTAACAGCTCTACATATAGAGCTCTGTTTCTTTGTTTGTTTGTTACGTTCTTTTCAGAACTTTTAACCATCTGATGCAATCCTAGAACCCGTAATTGTACCTTAGATTTAGTGTTTCTATAGCTATCAGATTATGATTTTGTTTCTCATAGGTGGTTTAATCACAAGAAGAAAAGTCTAATTCCAATTTTGACAAAAATAAAACCCAGATCCTGAAATCGGGTGAAGAAGAGAAGAAGGAGAGGAAAGAAGAAGATGGGACTAGGTTTGTGTTTTAATTTGGTCGAAATCGGTTTTTTTGGGTTATAAACGGTTAAGTAAACAATAACCTACGAAACCAAGATATATGGGTTAATAGATCTCAAAGTATTAATTCGGGGAGATTATGTTATTGAACTTACGTTTCGGAGAGAAATAGATATTAAACATTGTTTTCAGGGACATATAAACCGAGGTTAAAGTTTGGGCTCTATCTATTATGATGCGATACTTCTCGTGGGGAAATAGACCGTTTTTCCCCAAAGTGCACTTATCTTTTCAGTCAAACATCCAGAGAGAACTCCACAGTTAAGCGTGTTTGAGCTCGAGCCATTCTAGGATGGGTGACTTTCCGGGAAGTGATTGTCGGAACCATGTGAGTGAGAACAAAATACGGAGAAATATCATATAGTGATTTGTAGGATCGGTAAACAAATCTTTAAAGCCTCGGGACGTAGCGGACCAACCGTCAGACACGGATTGGCCCACGGGCCGAGAGAAGACGTGGGACCTATTAAAAAAAATGGCGGTCGGGACGTTACATTTAGATTACATATAGCATTTTATATATGTATGTATATATATAACTACTTATAAGAACAAATGTTTTATGTTATTTAGATGTGCTTATATATAACACATGTAAAAAAATATTCCTGTGAATTGGCTCATTTGAGCTAATCCATTGAAATTGTTGACAAAAAAAGAAAATAAAAATCGGACGTGCTCATCATAGAGGAAAAAATTATATAGGTAGATATTTCTTTACAATTTTTCTACATAATAAGAAAAATATAAATGTTTTATAACAATATCTTTATTGTATCACTATCCAGATTCGAATTTCGCATAATTCATATGTTGATTTTTTTTTAGCTTCACAATGCATATTATTAAGAAAAAAAGTACTACATAATCATATTGGTAGACATGATAATTATATGGATATTCATCTAACTTTAATGTTTCAAGGAACAAAGAAGGAATGATGTAATTTTGGGGAATTACGCTATCATAATTTACGTAACATAATACGAGTATCAGTTTTTTTAAGGCATAGCCTATAACCAAAATTACTACTTTTTGCTACGCACCACAAATTTAAGTATAAATCTTTAGAAGGACTTATAGAGTTAATTATAGTTTATAGATATAGATACTCACCAAAAAAAATAGTTTATAGATATAGATTCTACTCTAGAAAACGCTTGACATCAATCCGGTCAAAGTTTGAATCCTATTGATATCATCATCGAGTTATTAACTATATATTAATATAAAATTAGATAGAATTCATATACTTTCTTCGTTTCATAATATAAGTCGTTTTGAAAAAAAAAATTGTTTCACAATATAAATCTTTTTCAAGTTCCTATGCAAATTATATATTACTTTAATATTTTATAATTATTTATATTATGCAGTCTTTGTGATTGGCTGAACTTTTTAAAAGTAGATCTTTTTAATCTGCGTGTTTAAAGCTAAAACGATTTATATTATGAAACGGAGGGAGTATAAATTATCATATCATATTTTCCTAAAGATAAACCATATTAACACATCTTGATCTTAATATATGATGACAAATTAAACATCTTAATTAGAATTTTTTTTTTGTTCGATACGTAACCTCAATTTCACGAAGTACGCAAGGGCAATAACCTTGAAGTTTGAATCTTGTCAAATTTAAGAAAAAAAATAATAATAATAATTTTAAGAAACGACGAAATTCAAGATTCATAATATCTTTCTTGCATAAATCTCCTCTTATTAGAGAGACATTGGTCTTATATCTACGCATCACTTTCTGGTCCAATTATCGTTTCCCTATGAACCCATTTCTTCTTCTCTAAGAAACTTCTTCCTTCTTCCCCAAACTTACTCTCTCTACTATCTCTATAAATCTCTCTGTTTCTCTTCATTATCTTTTGGTTAATGTATTCTTAATCCCAAAAGTACTAATTCTCTTTGTGTCCTGCTTCTAGTTATGGATGATGAAGAGAGTAACATCGTAGAAAGATATGACGACGTCGTTTTGCCAGGGTTTAGGTTTCATCCCACTGATGAAGAACTCGTAAGTTTCTACTTGAAAAGGAAGGTTTTACACAAATCTCTTCCCTTTGAGCTCATCAAGAAAGTCGACATTTACAAATACGATCCATGGGACCTCCCAAGTAAGCATAATTCTAATTCTGATTTTTCTCCAAATCTCTAGAAACAAAATTTTGATTATGCATTTTCTTGAATCAATGTATAAAAAAGAGCTTGCGGCGATGGGGGAGAAAGAGTGGTACTTTTACTGTCCAAGAGACAGGAAATACCGGAACAGCACGAGGCCTAACCGAGTAACCGGAGGTGGATTCTGGAAAGCTACCGGGACTGACCGGCCTATATACTCATTGGACTCTACTCGATGCATCGGTTTGAAGAAGTCGCTAGTGTTCTACCGTGGTCGAGCTGCTAAAGGAGTCAAAACCGATTGGATGATGCACGAATTTCGGCTCCCTTCTCTCTCTGACTCTCATCACTCAACATATCCCAATTACAATAACAAGAAGCAACACCTTAACAATAACAACAACAGCAAAGAGCTTCCTTCAAACGTAAGTTATCAGATTTGCCCTAACTTGCTACAGAAGTTACTTTTTTGTTATTTGTTAAATCCGGTTTCGGTTTTATAAAACTAGTTACCAAACAAGAAACGAATTAGTATCGATGTTTTCTTTTTGTAGGATGCTTGGGCGATATGTAGAATATTCAAGAAGACGAATGCGGTATCGTCACAAAGATCAATCCCACAATCTTGGGTTTATCCAACGATTCCTGACACCAACCAATACAACTCACACTCACACAACAACACCGCGACTCTCTTAGCTTCATCAGACGGTCTCAGCCACATATCAACAAGACAAAACCTTATCCCTTCTCCGGTCAACGAACCCACAAGCTTCACAGAATCAGCTGCTGCTTATTTCGCGTCTCAAATGCTCGGAGTCCCGTACAACACAACTAGAAACAGCGGAACAGGGGATGCTCTGTTTTTGAGCAACAATGAGAATAACTACTTTAACAACTTGACCGGAGCGTTGACTCATGAGCTTCCGAATGTAAGAGCAATGGTGATGGAGGAGACGATGGTGAGTGAGATGTCGGCGACGTCTTATTCCACTAACAATTAAAGATAATAGCAGTATTAACACTTGAATTAGTGTAGACCATGGCTAATATGTATTAATTTTTATTGTCTTTATATAAACGTTGCTTCTCTTTTGGTTTCTTGAAGACCGAAAAGAAAAAAGAAAAAACAAAGACTTGCTTCGGAACATGCAACTTGTACTTAATTTGTAATAGATAATTGTAATGGCTTTTTATATTTATCAAGGGTCAAGATGATCAAGTTGGTTCAAAGTTCAAACCCATTCTTGAATTTTTCAGAGCTACATTTCATGTACTTTATGAAGATGATAAAATGCTTTAAAAAGGGAAACAAGTAAAGAAAATATGAATTAACTCAATTTTTAAGAGATTGCAAAGAGTACACTCAGTTAATAGCCATTTCTAATGAGTGACTTGTTTTTGCTTCGGAAGACTTTAGTTTTTTTAAACTCTCTTATCCTTTATTTTGCTTATCTTTTATTTTACGTTGCAATAATTTCCGTGATGACTGTCATGCTAAAAAAGCACGAACATGAAGTTCTATTTTTTGCCATATAAGCTCTTCAACCCCGCATTGGTTTTTCCTTGAATAAAATTAGTGTATGTTTCTAGTTAAATGGATGATTTTGTTTTACTCTAAAAAAGAAAGTGAAGAAAATATGAATTTGCAAATTCTTTTATTTTTGTTTCATTAATGGTAAAATAATGAAAGATACACGAAGATATAAATTATAATTTTAAATAATAAAAAGTTCTGAAAAATTGCTCTTCTGTTTTGGTTTCTATAATTACTGCCAAAAAATCCTTATAAATTTTTTTTTTTAAAACTACATAAGCATTAACTTTAAGCATAATGAAGACTTAAAAACACATTACTTCTGACTGATATTTACACTTGGAAGCTTCTGTAGACTCGGTTGTGTAACTTGTTTTGACTTGTTTTTGTATAGGACACGTAGCCGGAAAAAAAAAACTATCTTGCTATTCATGAATGAGTTACACAGCCAAAAACCACACCATTGGTCTATTTTGGTTAGATTTGGGTTGTCACAAATTTTACAAGCTCAAATAGTATAATTCTATTTTGGTTATGTTTCGACGAAAAATAAATCCAATAATTATTTTTATCATATTAATTAAGAGCTGTTTACTAGCAAGAAAAAATCTTATCAAAAACAAATCATATCAAATCTTTTTATTACCGTTATTATTTGATCTCATTGCTGAAGTTAAATATTTCATTTATTAATTAGCTGGAGATAGAGAAAAAAAAAGTAATATTTCCTTTTTAAGTTTTTTATCAAACTCTCAACGGCTAATTAAAAATCTACACAAAATATGGAAATCAAATCTTTTACTCGTTTTTCCTTTTTCTTAACGATGAGTGAGAAATAATTCTAATCCTAGGCCCTATCGACCCAAAGACTCTATAAATATATGATTCACTCTCTAAACCTAATTCATTAGTTTCACTCTCTCAATTTCATTCTTCTTCGTCTAATGTCTTCGTGTTTTCTCTTCACTTTGAACGTGAAAAAAAAACAGAGAGATTGTCTTCGAAATCAACAAGAAGATGACCATTCGATCTTTACCTTCTTCCTCTTGTTGTTCCAGTTCGTCTTCTTCCTCTTGCTCTTCTTATTCACTCGCTTCTACCAGTTTGAGCAATAGACTTGAGACCATCTTCAAGAAAGCTTCCGAGCTTTGCACTCTCTGTGATATTGAAGCCTGCGTCATCTATTACGGACCAGACGGAGAACTTAAGACATGGCCTAAGGAGCGAGAGAAAGTGAGAGACATTGCTCTTAGGTATAGTCAATTAAACGAAGCCTTGAGACGCAAGAAACGCGTTAATCTTTATGACTTCCTGAACAAGAAGAAGGAGAAGGGTTTGAAGAATCCGAACAAGAGGAGGAAGACGAGTTTGAAGAAAGTGAATGTATTAAAGTATCCAATCTCTGATCATTACTCTCCTGACCAAATCTCCAAACTGATTCAGTCCTTAGAACTCAATGTCTCTAAAGTCCAAGAAAGGCTTCGTTTTGTTGAGTCTCAGAAACACAAGGAGACAAAACCGGATCATCAGAGTTTAGCATCATCCTCTCTGAATCATCAGACCCAATCTTTGAACCCTAGCCAGTTCTCGCTATTTATTTATAACCATGGAGATAATACTCTCTCTCAAATCCCACTCTCTGCATCAAATTTCAATCCAGATTTACTACAAGAATCTGGCTTGATGAAGCAGGAGCTTTGTGGTTATGACCAGAACATGTTTATGAGTGACATTACCAACAACAAGTTTCAACATCCTTGCGTCTCAAACACAGAACATTACTCGGTGGTACCAGAACCTGTGAATAACTATGGGTTAAATCAGTTGATGCAGGACTTTTATGGTTGTGATCAGAACCTAAGTAACATCAATAGCAACAACTTCCAACATTCTTTCGTCTCAAACACACAACATTACTCTGCGGTACAAGAATCTGTGAATGACTATGGGTTGATGCCGCATGAACTTTATGGTTATGATCACAACATGTTCACGAGTGAGATTTACCAACAGCAACCTTCTTTCTGACAACTCGAGGTTTCTCTGATAACAAACTCATGTCAAGAGACTGTGAAACTGTTTTTCATCTTGTTGTAAGAATTTAATATGTTGTTATTGATGTTTGTTTTCTAAGTATTGCATAACGCATAATGTTTTCTTGTATCAAGCTATTTTACAATGTGAACATCTGCTTTATCAAATGAATGAATATATATTCCACCACATCAACATGTTACCAATTATTTTGGAATTCTAGATTATCATTTCATGAATATATCAGACCAAATCTCCCATTTTGAGAATAGCACAAAAGGATTAAGGATAAAAGAAGAACAGAGTCCTAACTTAAAGCTTAATGAAGAAGACTTAAGAAACCATATTTCTTCTGACTGACTATCTTCACTTGGAAGCTTCGGTTGACTCGTTCGTGTTGACTTGTAAAGGGCACTGAGATACATATGGTTTCAGCTGTAAAAATCCAAATAAATATTCATCAGCAGAGCAGCTAAATCACAACAAGCTTCATTCCCATTTCAGGTTCCTAACACGAAAACTTACAATGAACCAAGATATTATCAGGATCACAAACATAAGGAGATTCTACCAATAAGACTTGTAAGAAGATTTCTCACTAATGTTTGGTTCTCAAGTTTCAATTAAGATGCAAGCAGCATAATGGAAGAATCAATGACAAAAGGTTACATAAGAGTTTAGGGTGGTGAAATGAAAAACCTTAAAGCCGGTGAGATCAGGGACTACGTAATTCGGCAATTTACTTGGCTGCACAACATATCCTCCTGCAAAAACACCATGTCACAAAACTTAGAGAAAGATAAAATGAAGTCTCGAAACAATTGCAAATGATGATCAGTTCTTTTGCCAAAATGAAGTCTAGAAAACAAATGCAAAAACTGTATATTCCACATCTACAATTTCAACTTAAGCTACCATATTCTTTTGGTCGAAAGCTAACAACTTTAACTCAATTTTGGCAATTATACATCTCGAAAACTGAGCTCCAATCAGTCAAGCTACACCATATCACAGAAATTAGAGAAAGGTCAAATCAAGTCTAGAAGAAACAAATGCAAATGATGATTAAGTCTTGCCAAAACGGAGTTAAAGTTGTTAACTTTCCTCCTAAATAACAATCTAGTATCTAAAGCCAGCCATGTAAAATTCCTGAAACTTAGCTGATTAAAGCTTTTCCTTACATTGCATATATCTAATTCAAACAACTTGGTGATTAACACCAATAACAACAACATTCAAATTCTATGATGATCGTCAATTGAGTTAAAGTTGTTAGCTTTCCACCTAAAGAATCTAGCCTCTTAAGCCATGTATATACCTAAACTTAGCTGATAAAAAACTCTGACTTAGGTTGCATATATCTAATTCAAAATAACTTGTGCATTATTAACACTAAGAACAAAAACATTCAATTATCAACTAACCAAACAAGTGTTGATAGAAATGAATGGATTCTCAATCGCAGCTTGAGAAGTGAAAACCAAACCAATTGTTCCAGTTTCAGTGAAACTTCAAAACCAGAGATGCAATAACTACAAAATTAGGATGAAAGTTGGAACCTTTTCTGTGCAAATTTTGCCACAATTGAGTTAAAGTTGTTAGCTTTCTATAAACCCATGTAAATTCCTAACACTTAAGCTGAGAATAGCTGTTCTTTAGGTCTAATTCAAACAACTTGGGCACTAAAACCAATAACACAAGAATCAATTATCAACTAACTAAAACAAGTGTTACATAGAAATGAATTGATTCTCAAAGTTGAGACCTTTTCTTGTATGGAAACCCAAAGATTTGCAGTTTCTGCCCTTGTAGAAGTCTCTTGGAGCTCTTTTGGGAGAGAGAATATCAAGAGAAGAAGCTCTCTTTCTTCTGAATGATCTTCCAATCCCCATTAACAATCCTCCTATCGTCGTCATTCTCCACCAAATCTTTTTTTTTTTAACACCTATTCTCCACCAAATCTATCAATCTCAATCCCAGAGAGAGGCCAAACATTAGGGTTTTGTTTTAAGTGAGGTTAAAAAGGTTGAAGACAAAGTCAAAACGATGTCGTTTCAGAGGAATTTAGGAAAATTGAGCTATTTAAGAAACTATGTGACTCTAAACCAATGAAATGGAAAATACAGGGGTCATATTTGCAAATTAGTTTTCTTAGATTTACGCACGTGTTTTGCAGCCATTTTTTTATTTGATAGGAATAAAAACTAGATTTTTATTTTTGGTTCTGGGGTTTATCAGTGTTTTCAGCTTCTTCTTCTTCTTCTTCACAGCTTCTTGATATTTTGGAAGTTTTAAGCAAATTAGACAATTTTAATCATTGAGGAAGATTAAAAGAGTCTAATCAAATCATGGGTAAGTCGAAAAATCTTTCCTTTTTGATTTGTTTCTGGAATGTTGTTGGAGTTGTATAAAAAGAACCCTAACGTTTAATTTATGTTTTTGAGATATGTGTAACTTGTCTATGTATGTAAGATTAGTAACATTTTGATTTATTTGAGACATTACTGAATTTGATGATTTAAAACAAGTTCAAGTTTTTAATTTTGTGAATTGTTCTGATGCAGGGTGTGTACCCAGAATTGGATTTGGTTGTTCAAGGTACAAAATTTCATATCTTTATCTTATTCTAATTCACATTTTTGTTTTGATTCATCATTATAGGATTTAAGTTACTAATAGTTGAAGTGAATTCTTCTTCTTGAACAGCCATTATCTTGGTGAAAACCTTACTCTTTCATGGAACTTAAGAGCATGGAATTTGGGAAGACTGACTACGATTTCGCATTTTCGGAAACTTCCTTATCCTTTGGTAGCTTCTACTCGAAACCATTACAAGAACAGTTTGCTTTTGAAGAGATTTTTAGTTGGTGTTGGCACAGAGGAATCATCATTGTCAGAAGATTCACTAGATGAATCTCTTTCTCGACCTCTCACTAGTGATGAGGTTAAGCTTTTATGTTATTCTTTTTTGTTATCCTAAGCATATACTGTGATGATGAAGGAACTATGTTCTGTACCAGTTAACTAACTCTCCCTTTGGTTGTGTAGTTGAAGTCACTGCTCATCGATACAGAGAGATCGAAACTTGTTAAAAAACTGAGTGAAGCTAATCAACAGAATCGGTTCCTAAAGCGCCAGGTGCTTGTGTTATATTTATACACTTACTTTAGTACCTCTATCTGTCAACTGTTTGATGTACATTCTCTTAGATGATTTAAGAAACCTGCAACTTTATATTCTATTCTGGCTTAAGAAATCTTGTGTCTTCCCGGAAATACTAGATTTTAATATTACATACACTCTTGATGAATACTAGAAAAATGGAAGATGATGATGAGTCATTTGCACACTCTCCATTGTTTTAACCGGAATCTTTTGCTGTTCTTTTTCTGTGTGTTTGATGATGTACAGTTTGTTTGATATGCATTCTTTCAGATAACTTTATAAAACAAAGTGTTGTTTGAGTTCAATTATCAATGCTTATATTCTTGATGAAAGTGAGATAAATCTCCAAGGCATAAGGGAATTTTATGGAGCTTCATCTCTTTTTTTTGTAGACCGACATTGTATCAAAAATTCAAATCGAGTTGTTTCTGACTACATAATTCTTTTTGCAGCTTAAAACACAGGAAGATGAGATAACTAACATCAAAAGTGAGCTTGCACTTATGGAACTTGAACTTCAGGTCTTATATCTACTTTCGATGGTTTAGATGTCATATCTCCATATATAATGCCCATCAAATACATACTTTTTGTTGGTTATAATAATGGAAAGTTTCTAGCTTTAGATTTGTGTATGCACAAGTACATATGTATAGGTTTCTAATATAGTAGAAAATATTTCATGATCTCGTTCTCTGGAGGAGTAGGCTCTGGTCAAACTGGCGGAAGAAATAGCAAACCTCGGTATTCCAGAAGGTTCTAGAAAAATCAGCGGAAAGTACATTCAGTCACACCTTCTCTCTCGTTTAGACGGTTCTTCTCTTCCCCTTTTGGTTTCATAATTATTTAGGTTCTCTCCAAATCCCTGGAAATATATACTAAATTATCTTCTTTTCTTGCATTACAGCTGTTCAAAAAAAGCTGAAGGAACAAATAAAAGATGTTGAGGCTGCACAGTCAAAGGAGGTTCATGTGTTCTGGATTGGTATGGCAGAGGTAGTATGATAATCTTCACATTCTGAGATGTTTTATAAATATATTGAAGCATTTCAACATTCTAAGGTAAAATGTTATCCTCAAAATTAACTTCATTTGTTGACAATCTTCACATAAGAGCGTACAAGTAATGGGATCATTCGATGGATGGAGCCAATGTGAGGATCTATCGCCTGAGTACACAGCTTTATTCACCAAATTCTCCACCACATTATTCCTACGTCCCGGGCGGTACTATTTCTTCTACTCTTTCTTTTTTGCATTCAACTTCAGCTTTCATGTTTGAAACTATACATTTTTTTCAATCTCTTGTGGAATTCTTGAAATTAAGGTACGAGATGAAGTTCTTAGTGGATGGAGAATGGCAGATCTCACCTGAGTTTCCTACTTCGGGAGAAGGAATGATGGAGAACAATGTTTTAGTGGTGGAATAGCCACTCATCTTTCTACATTACACATTTAGGTAATACACCATTAAACATATTGAGAGGAAGAAGGAATGTTGAGCTGTTAGATACAAGGAATAGTATAATAGGTGGGAGGAAGAACATATTAAGAGTCTTTGGATCATAAACTACTGGTCATTTTCTTCTAGTTTGTTTTTGGTTAGTTGACAAATATTGTTCTTCGTGGTTCTCATCTCTTTTGAGTAAATACAAAATGATCTGTTTCCCTGAACCTATCAGCTCCATACAGTAGTCATTTTGGCTTTCTTATACAATAGTGTTCCAATCGATTCTTCGCATCTCTCAAAGGTTCCCTTGGTTTTGATTCCGTTTCATTGTTGCTTTGGCATTAGCTTTGAATCCACAGAGAGAAGATAGATAGGCTCCATGCACATCAGTAATTTCTTGTTTTGTATGAAAGAGCTATTGGAAAAAGGAGAAGGAAGAAGAGCTAGTGGTTTCAGGTTATCCCGGAAAACAAGTGCTTGAAAGACTTTATCTCAGTAGATTCTTCTCCATTCAGTGTCTTCGGGTCAGGAGACATTTAAATTAACTAGGGAGATAACCGGGTTTTGGTTAATGGTATGGGATTGCGGTTGAGGAGAAGCCATTAAAATTCATCAAATGTAATAGCCAAACATTGATTATGAGTTTTACATTCAATCAAATCAGCTCAAAATTTGTATTTTATTGTTACTCCAGTATACACTTAGTTAGGCATAGTATAACCGGTTTAGTTAACAATTTGAAATTAACCAATTTGGTTCAGTTTTGGACCAAATCCACCCCTAGTGGAACCAATAACAGTCATCAAATGTAATAGCCAAAAATTGTTGGACTTTATGAGTCTTACTTACAATATAACGTAAGGCCAAAATTTGTATCTCATTATTACTCCAATGTACTTTTAGTTACGCAGCATAAGATGTACAAGTCAATATCAAAAATCTCAACAAGGGAATAAACAAAAGGAAGGATCTAAATGTAACCTTCTATTTACAAAGTTAATCTTGGTTAACTTATTATGACACCAAACCAAATGGTCCCTAGTCAATTTGGACATATTCAAGACCCTTGTCACAAGTTTCATGTCTACTTGTGAGAAGAAGTGAAGTACTTGATCTTCTGCTGATTCTTCTTCCTTGTGCTTTTGGAATCTTCTTATAATACATCTCTCACTCTTCAACACATCTTTCAACCTTTTCTCCTTCTGCAACCGACCCAACCACATCAATCACACAACCATAAAACGTTTAAGAAGTTTTAAACTTCGTTTTTTTGAGAAAGAAAACACTTACATTTTGAAGTTGTGATTTAACCTCGGCAAACATTTCTAGATCTTCTGAGTCTTCTTCATGATCCGGTTCTATCTGTGATTTGGTTCGCGATTTCTGATCATGAATCGAGCTAGTAAGCTTATCACACCGTACAAATCGCCAGAATAATCGAATTGTTTCTTCCATAATTTCCACTAGTTGATCGCTTTTAATCGCACCATCATCATTTCCCTCGTAATCTTTTCTTCTTCCATTCTTTTTGTCCTTGTTTCCATCTTCTGTTAACATCATCAAATATTCTTCTAATCAGTAACAAAAAAAACATCTATAAGACCAGTTTAAAGACTAACCGACTTAAACAAAACAAACATATTTATAATCCGAATGATCTCATAGATTAGTTAAGTGAACAATCAGCATTTCAAGAACCCTAAACTAAAGGATTTGGTAAGATTAGGTTTAAGGGTTCTTACCTCGAATAACCGGGACCTGAAGTAGATTACGAAGAACACAACGTCTCTTGATGTAATGTTGTACTCTAGGCTCTTCAAACGGCTCGTTTTCAAGAAACCTTTGAAGCAAAACCTGAAACTGTTGAAATTCTCCGGCGACTTCGTTGTACAGACGAGATCCATACACATCGGATTCTAGTAATTCAATGGCCTTTTCGTATTGCCAGTGAAGTATTTCCCACGACAAACACATTTGACCAACGTACACGTTCTCTAATTCCCCCTGAATCTCTTTTATGAATTGAACCATTGGTTCGGTTTCCGATTTCTTCGCTTTCCATAACCATCCATTAACTGAGAAAACCGATGAAAATGACGTCTGCGAAGGATTGGATCCAACGGCAGAGGTTGCTTGTTGAGGGTTCTTTGACTGAAGAAGCCCTTCAAGAACAATGGCCAAGAGTCAGATTTCAACATAAGAACAACAATACACAAAAAAATTTGTTAAAATTTAAATCGTAAGACACAAAACATTATAATATTAAAAACTAAGCACAAACGTAATTAAACAAATGATTACTGGCCAACTAAATTTTCCAAAATCTAAAGATCAATACCTTTATAATATATATAATGTATATTTTCATTTGTTAATTTGAAAATAATTTGGGAGTAAATTTATGAAAACAAGAAAAGTATAGGTTCCACTAGCAAAACTACTAAGTTAGTGGAGAGTGGAAAAAATTAGGTAAAGGAGTTCCATAAGAGAGCAATGCAATAAAGAAGAAACATAAAAGCTAACATTGAAAGCTAACCCCAAAAAACTAAACACATTTGGTGAGATTGGCCAATAAAGATATGCATGTGTGCATTGGCTTAAAAATACAGAGAAAACAAAAAACTTGGTTAAACTAGATTTTCAATTACCACAATTTAGCTTTATGGTTGATGATGCAGCATTTATCACAATATCATCCACATGTGGTTTATACTTATCTAAGAAAAGTAAATTAAACAAACAATGTCATGTAACAAACTTCACAAAATGACACTAAAACATCATATGATTAGTCAATTACAAAATGAATGTGACAAATAAAATAAAAATTTCTTCTGACATATGATGATTTTATTCGTCACTATTCCCTAGGAATTCTATTCCATATTCTTCATGAATTAATAAATCTTAACACATCATCCAAAAAAACAATTATTTGAACAACAAAACTAGTAAGAAATCAATAAAGACAATTAAATAATGGTTAGCTTTTAGGTTTGGTGCAATGTTCACTTCAATACGCAAAATCAAACGCTAATTAGAGAAATCAACAAATTCTAAAAACCCTATAATGAATGAGTAGATTTCGTGGGACCTCTAATTTTTTTTTCCTAACTTATAAAACACTACAAAATTAAAATATTCATATGGTTGAAAAAAAAACACATAAACTAAGTTATTTGACCAAAACTAAAATTATTTGTAAAAAATAAATAAAAAGAGAGAGTGAAATTTAGAGAACTAACCAAGAGCATAAGACTTTTGAAAACTCAAGATATCAAGTTTTCGCATTCTTTCTCTGTAACTTCTATGGAACTTATGAACTTCACCAATCGTATCAACATGTTTAAATTTCTTCTCTTCTTCAATCTTCCATGGTTTTAAATCTTCCATGATCTTAGGACAATCATCTTCTTCTTCTTCTTCTTCAAGAATTGTCGAAAGCCCACCAATTGCTTTAACTTTCTTCATCTCCATCTTAAGTTGTTCTATCAATTCTTGATGTTCCCATAAACTCTCAAACCCATTTGTATCTTCTTCTTCTTCTTCCTCTGAATCAGAACCAGAACCAGAATTGTCGTTTTTACGGTTTTGTCCTTTCTCCAGTGATGCTTCTGCGAAATCTGAATCTGATAAAAACCCATCTTCGTCGTTGCTTGTGAATGTCTGACTTGAATCTACAAAATCAGAATCCGATTCCAAAAAATCTTCTTCTGTTAAAAATCTGATTTTTTTCTTCTCGATGGAAGAAACAGAGTAATCCTCTGTTTTTGCTCTTTCCTCGCCGTCAAAAACAGAGTATTCCTCTGTTTTTACTCTCTCCTCGCCGTCAAAAACAGAGTAATCTAAATCCTCTGTTTTCTCTTCAACCCTAAAAGTCGCCGCCTTTGGGTTTTCGAGGACAAAAGTGAGATTTTTCGCCGACGGTGTCTCGTACTTTCTCGCCGCCGCCGTGAAAACCGCCGGAGAAGAAGACAAAAAACTACTCTCGCTCTCACCGGAATCATCAGTGACCGATTGATACCCTTCTCTGCTTAATCTCTCGAAAGTTTCCGTTTGAAACGCGAATTTAAAAACCAATTTCTGCGATTCGACAACTTCTTCTTCTTCTTCATCGATTCCAGAATTTTCTAAATCAATCATCTTCGCTTCTTCTGATTCTTCGAGTATGAATAAAAACTGAGTCTTTGTTGTGTCGGTTTCAACAATTGTACCTCTTCGAACACTGTGTTTATATTTAAAGAAAAAGTTAAAAAAGTTTCCTTTTAATTACGCGTATTTTATTATTAACGCGTAAAAAAAAATATCATAAGAATGGAAATTAAAATATTAAGTACCTGGAGAAGAAGAAAGAGAGAGCAAAACCAGCATGATGATGAGAGATCAAATTCTGAAAAGTAAAAATAGAATTGATGAGAAATTTCTTAAGAGAAGACATAAGTGGATAAATTTTTTGCTGACGAGTCGTTGTTATGTTTATTTTTTCAATGAAAATGTTATTATCTAGGTTGAAAAAAACTCATGCAGAAGAAAGTGTAAATTTGCAGAAAAAGAGACTTTTTACCTAAAAACCAAAAGAAACGTTTGTGAAATCGAAAGGATGATGATGATGATGATGCATGAATAATAATAATAATAATAAGATTTTGAAGTGAGAACTAACAGATTGAGAAATTGAAGGGAAAGGAACAAGTGAGTGACATGTAATTGTCAGAAAAAATTGGAAACAAACAAAAAAGAATCTAAAAGTGTTGTTCTTTGAGCTAATCTTATGGTTGCTTTGAACCATGGATTTCTCCACTCTGTTATTGGATGCCACATACCCATCTATCACTACATTACACATTTTTTTTTTTAATATTCACACGATTGTTACTTTAATTTTTGTCTTAATTCGAAGTTTTTAATATAAATCACTCAATGCGACAAAAATGAAAAGTATATACTATGGATCACCCATTTTGACTTTTTCGGTATTATTTTTTTTTTTTGGTAATCACTTTTTCGGTATTTGATGCGGCCTTTTTTATTTATCCTAATAAAATCAAGAAGATCTTGCCGTGAGCAACATATCTCCACCGTAAAATATTTTCCGATTTGACCAAAAAGAAATAACCTCGGTTTATATACCTTGATGTGAGCTCTAGAGATGTTTTCTTAGGTCTTAGAGTGTTAAGAATAAAATTCTAGGCTTAGGTTAGCCTTAAACTCCCATGAACCACCGCGGTCAATGACGGTCAACGGCGTTGATTCTAGCATTGGTGTTGATCCTCAAAATCAAACAAGTACGTATTCGGAATCTTAAGGGTGAAAGAAGAATCTCTTCTTTAAAGAACGAGCCGACAATTACAAAAATAGACGAACTGAATTTTTAGAATACGAGCCGAGCCGCAAAGTGCTCTGACAGTTGTACAATATTCTCTGTGAAAACGGTTATCTCGGGATCCCTTTACAAACATTCTTTTTTGCTATTTATAGGATGCAGGAGTAGGGTACACTGTGCGTGCGAAATGTCCTTTTTACCCCTTTGGTCGGTGGAATACTTACTGGGCTTGGGCCCTTCCGAAATTAAACTCTTAATGGACCCTATAAATCTGATTTTTCGGCCCGTCTCGTCGAGTTGAAGGCCCAAGATGGGATTATGGGCCCGGGCCCATAATCTACCATCAACAGTAGCCCCCCAACCCTAGTGCGTAGCAAACGGCACGGCTAGGGTTGTAATCATTTCATCGCCCCGGTTTTTCTTGCGCACGTTTTCGAGGCGCGTGTGATGAACGCCTTCTTCCGATTCGTCTACTGCTGCTCCCGAGGCCTCGATTATCGGGTCGCTTGCGTGTTGAAGGCGGCGAGGTCGTGATGATTACGCCGTTCTTCGAGGTGTGATGATGACGCAGTTTTTCTTCGACCGACTCCCTCTATAAATACTTCGCTTCCTCCTCATTCCTTTCATTCTTTCTCCGCATCGATTTCGAAGGTATTCTCTCTGTTCTCTCTCCTTTTCTCAGCGCGTCTTTTCTTATTTTCCGATTATGTCTTCAAGTGTCGGTTCTTTCGACTCCATCTCCGACCATCGCCGATCTCGTACTTCCGACGAGTCGAATATCCGGTCTGTTGACCGTTTTCTCAACGAATCTGTCAGCAACTCCCGGGGTCGTAGATCTAGAACCTCTTCCAGATCGTCGGCCTCGTCCGTTGCCAGAGACTCTCCGGTTGTTGCAGAGCTACGACGTCGCGAGCTCGAAAGTCGCGTGGGAGCAGCCGGACCGAGTGCAAATCCTAAGTCCGTTACAACCATGTGCCTTCGTGATGACGATAGTGACGCGGCGTCTACAGATGAGGATAACGTACCGCTTATCAGACGCAAATCTTCTATCATTAGAGCGGCTCGTTCTGTTGGCCCGTCGTCTGATGTCGCCGATCGTTTGGACATCATTCCATTGACGAGGCGGGCGCCCGCCCCGGTTGGGTTTGTTCAGTCCGGTGGACCAGCACCGGGAATTCCGGATTACCTTCAACCGACGTCGTCGACGAGCGAGACGATTGAGCTCTCTCTCCATTTTTGCGATGCTCCAGCTTCCCTAAATACGCTCATCCCGAACCCGTGGGATCGTCCCTGGACTGCTCCGCCTGGATATCTTTGTGTATACGAAAAGCTCATCACTGACTGCGGGCTGACTTTCCCAATTCCGGCGTTCTTGCTTCAGTACGCTTCGCGGCGAAAAATGGCGTTTGCGCAACTTTCTCCGGCTGCTATTCGGAATGCTTACGGCCTGATTCGTTTGGCTGAGCAGTGCGGCGTCGAACCTCGTTGTTCTCTGTACGAGGAACTGACGACGAAGAAGAATTTCGGGAAATCCAAGCCGGGCTTGGTGTATACTCAGTCTTCGCTGACCCCAAAGTTGGTTGTTGGTGCGAAGAGTAAGACCAACGATTGGCTTCGTTGGTACTTCTTTGTTAAGATCGACAACGATTCCGCTGGGGACGTGGTCGTCACGAATTACCATGGGTGGACTATTTCACCCGGTAGTTTGCTTATCCCTCCGAGGTCGATCCCTTGTTAATTGATTATCTATCTGACTTGTTTTCCTCGTTTCTTTTCCTCTTGTAGTTCGTTGTCCCAAGATCTTGGACCCGTATCCTGAGAAACTTCGCGACGACGTTAAGAAGATTCTAGCTTTGTGCCCGTATACCTGGCCCAACGAAGAAGACCCTGTTCGTCGCCCTTCCTCAAAATCTAAGAAAACGAGCCGAAGAGGAGGTCCTTCGAAAGCAAGGAAGGCTAACAAGACTCCAGGTCGGCCTTGATCTTTCCCTTCTTTCTTTATTCGTTCGATGAGTGCGTACGATTTTTCTTACATTCTTCTCTCCCCTTTCTTTTACATACCAGCTCCTTCAAAGATTATGGGGAAAATGAATGTTGACGCGGTGGGTGATTACTCATCAAGATACAAGAAGAAGTCGTCGGTGACGCCGTCGAAGAGGATGAGCCGGGAGGAAGACGAGGCCATGGCCTTAGGGAAACGTCTTTCCTTAGCCGAACACGAGGCTAAGGAGAGTGAGCGACTATCTTCAGGTCGTCGGGATAGGAGAGATGAGGGTGACCGTCGTGATCGACGCGGTCATGATGTTGTCGGTGCCGATCGTTCGGAAGCAAGATCCGACGTAGAGAGGGAGAGGAGGGAGAAAGAGGTGGCTGAAGCGCGGTCAGCTAAGCTACCTGTTGCCGAGACTTCTCACGATGTGCCCCTAGGCGGCAGGGAGGTTATTTTGTATGACAACTCTCAGGTCGAGCCGACCAAGAAGCGGGCTGCTGATGAGTCCGAACCGGTGCGTTCAGACCCGACCAAGAAACAAAGGACGGCCTGGGCCCCTGACTATAGGTGGCGATATGATTATAACGGGCGCGACGTTCATATCTCGACTGATTCCACCTCCTGTGCGGAGCTGTTCCGCAAGCTTCACGTCGGTCCATCTCCCTTCTTCGAGCTCCAAGATATGTGGGAGAGAACGGCGTTTACTGACGCTGCGAAGAAGGCCGTTGCGGTAATGCCTTAAGAACTTTTCGCAAAACTTTAAGTGTTTTGCTCTCTAACCGAGCTCTTACTTCTTTCTGTAGGCCATTGGCGCGATTGACAGGATGGCGTATATGTACGAGCGTCGCCTCCGCGTTGTTTCTGAGCAGAACACGGCCTCGAAGGATCACCAGAGGGCCTTGGCAGCCGAGACGAAGAGGGCCGATCAGGCGTCGAAGGGCTTGGAGAGTGCCAACTCCGAGGTGCAGCTTCTTCGTGAGGAGGTCGCCAAACTAAAGGAGGAACGGGATAACGCTCTTTCAGAACGGGAACGTTGTCTTGAGGAGTTGTCAAAGTCCCGAGTTGACTTTAAGCACTTGGCCGAGCAGTCACAAGCCGAGGAGGCAAGGCTTCGGAAGCGGCGCACCGAATATGCTCGTATTCACGTAACTAAGGCTCTCAAGGAGGCTGCAGACCAATTTCAGCAACGTCTCGACGGGATTCAGAGGCATTTCACTACCAAGGACGCGGCGTATCCCAAGTTCCTCGATTATAATCAGGCGGTCGGGAGCGTTGACCTGCAGAAGGCGCTGGCTGAAACTGGGGAGGTCGTCTTGAACTCGAAGGACGTGATTGAGAGGCTTGAAGCTGATGCGGAAGAGCTTAAGAACGAGGTCAATGCGTTCGACTTTGCCGAGCTAGAGGAAGGCTGGAATGACGTCGGGAATCTCTTCACGGGTCCTCTCGTTGCTGAGGAGTTTGCGCCTTCGGTTGAAGGTGTTGACGATGAAGTTGCTGGTGACGTCGAGGCCGTCGACCAAGTCGTTGGTGATGGTGACGCCCAGGTCGGAGATCCTCCTCAAGACGAGGCCGCGTCTTGAGTTTTTATGTTGTTTTTTTTTAAGTTATTTGCCGCGTAGTCGGCTTTTGTAAGACTCTTGCCACTTCTGTTGGCTTTTCCTTTATTGAATATCTATTTCCTTTATTATCTTTTGCGTATATTGTTGAGTTCGTTCCGCGCAGGTTATTGAGTACGACCTCAAGAACTTGGTCGATAATCGTGTTTGGGTCGGATCCAAGACACTCGGTGGTACGACCTCGAAGGTCGTTCCGCGCAAGTTATTGGGGACGACCTCAATAACTTGGTCGATAATCGTGTTTGGGTCGGATCCAAGACACTCGGTGGTAAGACCTTCGAGGTCGTTCCGCGCAAGTTATTGGGGACGACCTCAATAACTTGGTCGATAATTGTGTTTGGATTGGACCCAGGACAATTTTAGGTGCGACCTCCGGGGTCGGCTTATCCTGTTCGAATGATTAAAACGAGCGTGATTGCGAGTTCGGCCTCGGCTTACGTGATCAGTCGTTTTAATCGTGCGAGTACGGAACTCGGCTTTCGTTCGATTAGACACCGGGCCAGGGTGCTAACA